TTAAGTGATACCAAAAGATTGGGATTGTCCCCTGCATATTTTCAGAACACAATGCTTTGGAACTTCAACTCAAGCACAAGAATAAATTTGGAAGAAACTCAAACATATGAAGATTAAAGAGCATCCTGCTAAAAGATGAAAGGGTCAAAAAGGAAATTAGAGAAGAATTAAAAAGATTCATGGAAACTAATGAGAAGGAAGATACAACATTTCAAAATCTTTGGGATATAGCTTCTAGCTCCCTTGATTTTTCTACTGTTCTGGATTCCTTTTCTTTGATTTATGCTCTAAAACTTATTATTTCTGTCTCCTGTTTGGTTTAGGTTTTATTTGCTGATCTTTCTCCAGTTCTTCTTTTTAAAAAGTACTTATTTATTCATGAGAGACACAGAGAGAGGGGGCCTGATGTGTGACTTGATCCTTGGACTCCAGAATCATACCCAGGGCTGAAGGCAGGTGGTTGACCACTGATCCCCCCAGGAGTCCCTTTCTCCAATTCTTTTAGGTTTAAAGTTAGCTTGTGTATTTGAGATTTTTTTCTAGTTTTTAAAAAAGATTTCTTTTATTTATTCATGAGAGAGAGAGAGAGACAAAGAGAGAGAGAGAGAGAGAGAGAGAGAGAGAGAGAGAGAGGCAGACAGAGAAGCAGGCCCCATTCATGGAGCATGACATGAGACTTGATCCCACGTCTCCAGGATCAGGCCCTGGGCTAAAGGCATCATAAACTGCTGAGCCACCAGAGCTGTCCCAATTTTTGATTTCAAATCTAATTTATCTGATATGAAGACATCTACCCCAGCTCTCTATTTATGTCCATTTGCATGATAAATCTTTATCTACCCCCTCATTTTGAATCTGAATGTGTCTTTGGGTCTAAGATGAGTCTCCTGTAGACCCAAATGAATGGGTATTACTTTTTATCCCACCTGATATCCTATGACTTTTGACTGGATCATTTATACAATTCATGCTCAGAGTAACTATTGAAGGGTATGAATTTACTGCTATTGTATTGCCTTTAAAATCCCCGTTCCAAAAATAAAATAAAATAAAATAAAATCCCCGTTCTAGCAGAATTTTTGTGTGCCTTTGGAATCCCTATCAGCTTACTGAATCCCGCTTCATATTTATTGGAAGGTGGGCTTGGTGGTCACAGAAACTTTTAGTGTCTTTCTGTCCTGAAAGCACTTTATCTCTCCTTCAATTAGGAATTACAGCCTAGCTAGTATCTCCGAGTTTGTGGCTCTTACTTGTTTTAATGCCTTTATCTCATCTTCCTTCCTTTCCATCACCTTCTCTTATATGTCATTTACTGTCTATTCTTCCTCATTTACATTGGCTGTTACAGCATTCAGTTTAGACTGCATCTTACAGCACATTGAATTTCAGCCTGATGAAATTTGATTCCCACACTAAGAAACTCTCATGTATTTTATGCTTTTTTCAAGCACAAATAGTAATTCATAATTATAATTGTGTGCTTCATCTCATATTTTATTTATAACTGTATATATTAGATCTGTGATAGAGAAGACTTTCTCTGGTTCTTGCATATGTTGTGGATTCCTCTTTCTAATCATTTTGTCCAGTGCTTAATGGCTATATGAGTGAGCAGATTGAAAAATATCTACAACAACCCAAGCAAAATACAAAGTATTCTTCCATCTTGTCTCCTATGGGAGGGGCATGCTACCCAGGCTCTCAGGTGTCTGTGCTTGGGTGGAATTGCCCCACCCAACGTCAGGGGGGCGTGGTTCAGTGTCAGGCATTTGCTGTGTGAAGCTTTTGTTCCTTGAAGGATTTCCTTGCCTCCTTAGAGGAATAAAATAAAAATGGCTGTGCTGCAATCTCCAGCCCTGCAGATAAGGCATCGCAGTGTGTGCCAAACTCTACAGACTCCTATGGGGCCTGCCCACTCAGGTCCTCCTGGGTTCATATGGAATGAGGTTCATTTGTGCACAATGTAGGGCCCTGGCAAGGAGAGCTTTCACCTAGTCATTCATGCACCTGCTCCCCACATCCTGGAGGAAGCATAGGGTGGCCTCTTTTCCCTCTGTTGTAGGGCCCTGGCATGGAGAGTACTCATCCAGTCTAGTGTACCACTTCTCTGCCTCTCCCAGAGGAAGGTGGAGGGTTGTTGCATTCCCGACCTCTGCAGGGATCTAACATGGAGAGCTGTCACCCAATCAGGCCTTGGTTCACTGTTTAGTTCAAACAAGCTGAACCTCCTCCCGGGCTTGTTACATAAACTCATTTCCCTGTTCCAATGCGTGGAAGCTCTTGTGGTTCAGACAGCCTGATCTTTCTGTGCCTCCAGAAAGATTCAACCCCACTGTCCCATCTGTGATATTGCCTGCTTCACTCAAGAACAGCTTTCAGGGAGGGACTGCACTCACAGAAGCATATTTCTAAAGATCCAGGTTTTGAGGTCCAGACTGTATGACTTTCCTGTAATGTGCTTACGAAGGCTCTTGTGTCACCATTTGTCTCTCCACATATCCCCTCCATTTCTCTCTGCATATTCCTACTGGGGAAAAGCAGTCACATTTTATTTGTAGAGATCCATCCATTTATTCCTGACATCTGTGGTTGAATTCATAGGTGTTCCAGGTGGTTTGACAGTTATCTAGCTAAATTAATGGGGTGAAATGATGACCCCTACTGTGCTGCCACCTTGCCTGTCTCACTGTTCTGTGTTTCGTCAGAAATGGAATGGAGGTGTGATCCTGTTACCTCTATCCCAGCAGAATTTAAAGACTGTGAGACCCTCCCTCGGGGGACCAGCCCAGGTTCACACGACAGGAGTCCCCCATGTTGATATATGGAGACTCATTCAGGTGCCTGAGATAAACCAGCTCAGACACAGGAAGGTGAATATGGGGTTCAGATGGAAATTGAAGACAAAAGGGCTGATGGCTCTCATGTGAGGGCTCTCTGAAGAGTGGGGGTTACGAATATTCTACCCCAGGCTAGAGAGAGGGGACCATTTTCAACCCCCCCTTCAGTGCATCAGGGAGCAGAAGAGGGCCATCCATTGGAGCCCAGAGCTGCTCACTCTGAGCTCTGCCCCCTACCCGGTGGAAGAGGATGCCCACTAGGGCAGGACTTCTGAGAGTGAGCACGGCAGCCCCTCCCCAGGGGATCAGCACCAGCAGTTCCAGGTCAGCAAGTCTGGTCATCAGAGAGTGTTGTGAGGTGTCAGTTATAGGGGAGTTAGTTCTTAGCTTCCTTTCTACTTTCATTCTTCATTATTTATTCCTATTTTATATTTATATTCCAATAAATCCTTCTTTATTTATCATTATTAATTTGTTCTTAATTTTCCTCCCTAATTTTTATAAATACTTTTAGTTTTTTTAGTTTTATTTTATTTTTAAATTTATTTTGTAGTCCACATACGTTCAAGTGGAAGACTAAAGCGAACCAAGGATCTTCCTTTTTAAAAAATTTATCATAAAAAGGTAAATGAGGGATCCCTGGATGGCACAGCGGTTTGGCGCCTGCCTTTGGCCCAGGGCGCGATCCTGGAGACCCAGGATCGAATCCCACATCGGGCTCCCGGTGCATGGAGCCTGCTTCTCCCTCTGCTTATGTCTCTGCCTCTCTCTCTCTCTCTCTATCTGTGTGACTATCATAAATAAATAAAAATTAAAAAAAATAAAAAGGTAAATGTTAAAATAAATCGATCCCAGCAGATTATACAGGATGAAAATGTCTCAAACCAGGATTTTAGATTTACATATCTGTAAGATATGTATATAAACAGGATTTAAAGCAATGATTGAATAATACTAGCAGAACTTGGAAATTGGATAGAAGAAAATAGATAGATATTTGCTTAATGCAGAGATAAATGAATAAACTCAAATCAGGCCAAGTTAAAATTTCTATAACCAAGACACTATCCCACGTGGATGCCATACAATGGAAGTAGGATGAAGCAGAGCAATGATGTAGTATAGATAGGATGAAATTATAGAAAATACCAACTGAAAACAAGATAAAACAAAGGTAAAGACATCAAAAGTAGATGTAGGGAACTCAGTGACTTATGAAATCATAACAACATTTGTATTAATGGAGTCCCAGTAGATGATAAGAGAGTAAACAGAAGCAGAAGTTATTCAGTGAGCTGACATCAGCACCCGAAGGATCAATGAGTTATTCCCTGCAGGTGGAAGGTCCTCCAATCCAGCTCCTCACCCTGAGGATCCCCGTCGATCCATTAGAATCTTTTGTTATCTGAGTATACGTACGCAGTGCACACACGACCTTCAGAGCCAGCTGGTGACCTTGGGTAGAGGACTGTTTCCACCTGAGACTCTTGGTAAGACCTTGCTTTATTTCCACTATCATTTTAAATTTTCTGCTGCTTCCATGGATCATTCTCATTATCCACGATTCAGACCTTTTTCTACTTAGAATGGATATTTCTTTTTTTGTTCTTCCACTTTTCATACTTGTTTAGTCGAATTATTCCTTACACCATATCTTTGAATCTCCGTGCTAAATTTTTGACATTCATGCATCCCTCATTTCCTGTTCTACAACCATGGGAAATAAAACAAGAACCCAAAGGTTCACCCTCCTGTGTTGCATGGGAGACACTAACTCCACACCAGACCCTCATGGAGAGGGACCCCATTCCCACCACTGACTCACAACACACACCCTGATCCTGTGTCCTTGCCTGCCTCCATCCAAGCATCTATGGCTTGCTGAGAGGCCTGTCCTACTCTCAACTGATGATGGTGAGGGTGATAAAGGTTTAATATTCTCCCGTGTGTGTATGTGTGTCTGTGTGTGTGCATTTGTGTTACCTTCAGAATCCACATTCACACCATGTGCAGGTGGGGGTTCCTCTGCTTTCCCAGGCGGTCAGTAACATTGATCCTGGGAGTATGGTTCAAGATAGTGACCCCTCCAGGGGTTTTTACTTTCTTGCTTTAGACTGTTGATGACTCTGTTCCTTCAAGTCCAGAGGGCAGTTTATGCTGCTTCTACCAACCTGTATAAGGATCTCGGTGGTTCTGTCATACACAGTGCACATAGCTGTGAGGCTTATAAGGATAATTTGATGTACACAGAGATTTCTAATTACTGATATTTTTGGGACAGTTAGCAAATCTAATCAAATTTATCTTTTATACATATAAGGATTTTTTAACAAAAAAGTTACAAAATTAGTGACTAAATTCATAAGCACAGAATTCTGTGCCAAGAGAGGTTTCCTAGAGGAAACTGCTCCATGGAAAGCAAGCTCAGAGCCTGACAGGAAACCTGCCCAGAACCTCCATCTGCACCTGCTCCTGAGCCTTTGACTCAGAAGTGGTGAGGAGTGCGCACCCCCTGCTGGTCGTGATCCCCTTCTACAGGGAGGTTTGTGTCCGGGCTCACACTGAGGTTGACTCACTGTGTTCCTCATGCAGTAATACACGGCCGTGTCCTCGGCTCTCAGGCTGTTCATCTGCAGATACAGCGTGTTCTTGGTGTTGTCTCTGGAGATGGTGAATCTGTCCCTCACAGTATCTGCGTAGTATGTGCTACTTCCATCATAGTTAATATGTCCGACCCACTGCAGCCCCTTCTTTTGAGCCTGGCGGACCCAGCTCATGCCATAGCTACTGAATTTGAATCCAGAGGCCTGACAGGAGAGACCCAGCGACCCCCCAGGATTCACCATGTGTCCTCCAAACTCCACCAGCTGCTCCGCACCCTGGACACCTGCAGACACAAGACATCCTGGTCAGAAAACTGTCCCCCATCATCTGTTTCTCTCACTCACCTCCACTCACATACTCAAGGTCTCTGGTTCTCCATGAATTACCTTTTAAAATACCAACAAGGAAAACCCAGCCAAGCACAGACTCCATGGTGAATTGTCTGTGCTCTGTCCTGATCCCTGAATGGGGTCATCTGGGGATCCTGAGGCTGGAGTTTCTCTCCAAGCTGCAAGGTCAGGGCTGGGCAGGTTTAATCAGCGGAGGGAGGGCCATATTTGCATGTATTCTGAGTATACAGGAAATTTTTGAGGAAGCAACCTCAAGAGGCACTCAGATCTTAGGTAGGATCCTGGAAGAGTTTTGAAGACAGGATATCTGTCAGTAAATTGTTTTTTCTCAATACCTGATTTGCTGTCTGAATACTTAGCATTGATCATCTTCCATATTTCCACATATGGACACGACATAATTTATATACATAAAAAATTAGCACCATTTACAGGTATGTAAGTATTCACTGCAGCACAGAGAGGTTGTGTGAGGATCTAAATGGACACAGCAGTTTGGAGTGAGCCCCAGTGTTTGGGCCTGTGGTCCCCACCATAGCACCTGTATGCTCCCTGAGCCACTTCCAAGACAGAACTGGACATAAGATTTGAAGGTTTCTTGAATTTCCGGAAGCCCCAACTGAGTGATGTGTGTAGACCAGATCGTTCTTTCACAGAAACACGGAGACAAGTAGAAGCCCTGACAGAGACTCAGAGAGCTGATAGCAATGCTGTGGTTTTCAACAAGCTAAGGGCTTTACACCTGATCTCTCTCTGTACATAAGAATAGAAATTCTACATAAAGATAACAGAGTGGAATGATTACTAAAACAATTAATGTCAGAAGATATGACCACAGAAAGGATTCTATTTTTTTAAGGACATTTCTTCATCTATGTTATGAAGGTCATTGTATTTCAATACTCACATTTTTTAAAAGATTTTATTTATTTATTCATGAGGGGGGGCGGGTAGAGACACAGGCAGAGGGCACAGCAGGCTCCATGCCAGGAGCCCGACATGGGACTCGAACATGATCCCGGGTCTCCAGGATCCCACCCTGGGCTGAAGGTGGCACTAAACCACTGAGCCACCTGGGCTGCCCTCAACACTCACATTTATTGCCATAACAATATCAGTTATATTGATCCTGGTGGCTTGACCTTGGCAAGTTTGGTTACTGGCACTATGATGGAGTCTTCAAAAAGTGGGGGACTTTTCTGTGTTTCCACAGATCTTACAAATGTTAACCTTGTCCCTGTCTGGAAGATGTTTGCAGAGCATGGCACAGAAATCCCTGGAGAGGAGACCAGCTCTCAACCGTCATCTTGTTCTGGATCTTGAGCTTCCTGGTTCCTGAGATCTCCTGGTGGTTGTGATTGTCCCCTGGTGACCCCAGTAGAACTTGTTGGCTCCAAACACCCCTGCAGAGACAGAGTAGACATCTCACCCTTTCGTGTTTTTCCAACATGCAATCAGAGTCTCTTCCACATGATCACACAGATCCTCCTGGTGAAGGATATCTCCTACCTATCCCCCTCTTTCATCCCTCCTTCTGCTCCTTGGCTTCAGATCTCCAGCTATATTTATTGTAGTCAGAGGTGAGCTGGAATCTTGAATCAAGTCCCTGACATCTATCAGGTGTCCTCAAGCCTCTGAGGTCTTTCCCTCCAGATGATAAAAAGTCATTGTTTCTACTTAACATAACTATTTTCTAACACTGAGAAGAATTTGGAGGCTTAAAGAAACTGCCAAGATGGGGAAGTGGGGCAAGATGGCAGAGGAGCAGGGGTCCTCAACTCTCCTGGCCCCACCAACTTACCTAAATAACTTTCAAACCATCCTGAACACCTACAAATTTGACCTGAGATTTAAAAAGAGAACAGCTGGAACGCCATAGAGGGAAGGATTTTAGCTTCTAGCAAGGTAGGAAGGCGAAAAGAATGAAATAAAAAAGAATCAAGTGGGGGAGGGGCACTGCAAGGAGCCTCCCTGGCTAAAGCCCAGTGGCAAAAGCTTCTGGGACAGGAAAGCCCAGCCAGGGAGAAGTGGGAACTTTTTTTCTATATTTTTTATTGGAGTTCAATTTGCCAACATACAGTATAACACCCAGTGCTCATCCCGTCAAGTGCCCACTTCAGTGCCCGTCAACCAGTCACCCCAACCACCCGCCCACCTGCCTTTCCATTACCTTTGTTCAATTCCCAGAGTTGTCTCTCATGTTTTGTCTTCCTCTCTGATTTTTCCCACACATTTTTTCTTTTTTTCCCTATAATCCCTTTCACTATTTCTTATATTCCCCATTTGAGTGAAACCATATGATTATAGTCCTTCTCCAATTGACTTGCTTCACTCGGCATAATACCCTCCAGTTCTATCCATGTCAAAGCAAAGAGTAGGTATTCATTGTTTCTGATGTCTCTAATTGTGAATCCTCTGCTATTCCCCAAATTAACTCACTTTGTCAGAAATAAAATAAAAAGGAAAAATGAAATGATAGAAAAATTTGCCACGTAAAAATGAAGAGCATGTCAATCTCATAGTCCAGGAATTTGATGCTTAGAGATTCAATTAAATACTCCAAAGTGGAATTTATTTTTTTGTTAAAGATTTTATTCATTTATTCATGAGTGACTCAGAGATAAAGAAGCAGAGACACAGGCAGAGGGAGAAGCAGGCTCCATGCAGGGAACCCGAAGCGAGACTCAACCCCAGGACTCCGGGATCACACACTGTGTCAAAGGCAGATACGCTGAGCCATCCGAGCATACCTAACGTGGAATTGAAACACTGATTTAAAGAATACTAGGTGGGCTTGGAAAAAAGGAGAGAAGACAATATAAGTTCCAATTCTTCTAATTTTTGCTATTTTTAAATTTTTTTAAAAATTTTTATAATAAATTTATTTTTTATTGGTGTTCAATTTGCCAACAGACAGAATAACACCCAGGGCTCATCCCCTCAAGTGCCCCCCTCAGTGCCCGTCACCCATTCACCCCCACCCCCCGCCCTCCTCCCCTTCCACCACTCCTAGTTCGTTTCCCAGATTTAGGAGTCTATATGTTCTGTCTCCCTTTCTGATATTTCCCACACATTTCTTCTCCCTTCCCTTATATTCCCTTTCACTATTATTTATATTCCCCAAATGAATGAGAACATATAATGCTATCTTTAAATTTAAAGATAGGCTAGGTATTTTTTTAAGATTTTATTTTTTATTCATGAAAGGTAGAGAGAGAAAGAGAGAGAAGCAGAGACACAGGCAGAGAGAGAAGCAGGCTGCACGCAGGAAGCCAGAAGCGGGACTCAATCCTAGGACTCTAGGACCACACCCCGGGCCAAAGGCAGGTGCTAAACCACTGAGTCACACAGGGATCACCAGAAGTTCCAATTCTTCTAGATGAATGAAGTAAAATCAAGTCAGACAACATTAAAAATGCTATAACCAATATTTAATCCCCAGTGAAGGTTATAAAAATGCGGTTGATGAAGCAGAAGAGACAGCCAGTTTAGACAAGATAAATTACTGAAAATAATGACTGAAAAGAAGAGGAAACAAAGGTAAAGACAACAAAGGGAGACATAGGGAACTCAATTAATTCTGATGTCATAGTAATATTCATATGATAGGAGCCTCATTAGATGAAGAGGCAGGAAAATAAAAGTGATTTGATTAAATAATAGCTGAAAAGTTCCCTAGTCTCAGGAAGAAGAAAGACGTCAACTCCAAGAAGCACAGGAACTCCCAATGATCCCATCATGAGGCTGCACCTCCTTACTCAAGTCTTCCCCTAAGGCCTCTCCTCCTTCTCCCATCACATGGGCATTAGGTTCCAACCTGGGGATGGTTGGAGCACAGTGAGCTGACGTCAGCACCCGAAGGATCCATGAGTTATTCCCTGGAGGTGGAAGGTCCTCCAATCCAGCTCCTCACCCCGAAGAGCTTCATGGATCCAGTAGAAGCTTCCGGTCTCTCTGTGCACATAGCACACATGTGACCTTCAGAACCAGCTGGTGACCTTGGGGGAGAGGACAGCTTCCAACTGAGACACTGGGTTATCCTTGATCCATTTGTATAATCACTTTATATTGTGTGAGGCTTTGAAGAAACATTCATCTCACTTTCCCCTAATTCGGACATTTCCATACTTAGAACAACCACTTCTCTCTAATGTTCGACCAGTCTTCATACATGTTTAGTGGAATGATTCCTTACACCATATTTTGAATGTACCTGCTAGAACCTTGACATCCATTCCTCCCTATTGTCTTGCTCCACAAACATGGGTCATGGAACCAGAACCCATAGGTTCTCCCTCCTTTGATGCAGGAGGGACACTGACTCCACACAAGCTCCTCCTGGAGCAGGACCCCGTCTCCACCACTGACCTACAACACACTCCCTGAGTCAGTGCCCTTCCTTGTTCCATCGAAGCATTTATGACTTGCTATGAGGCCTGCCCTGATCTCAACAGACAGGGTAAATGTGATGATGATTTATACTCTTGTGTGTGTGTGCATGTGTGTGTCTCTGTGTGTGCATGTGTGTGTGTTCATGTGCGTGTGATCTCCGGATTCCACATCCTAACAATGACCTTGGGGAGTTTCCACTGCTTTTCCACGTTATCACTAGCATGAATCCTGGTAGGTTGGTTCATTACAGTGATGCCTCCAGAAATTCTGTCTTGCTTTCTACTCCTGATCGCTCTATAGTTTCTTGTCCATTTGGTTCATGCTGCTTCTACCAACCTTGCACGCTGAGCAGGGGGTTCTCTAATGAACAGTGTAGAAAGGTGGAACTCCTTAAGGAGAAGATGAGATGCACTGAGATATGTGTCATTAAATGATGTGTAGGGGCAGTAGAGAAAAAGTGTGAGCAAATTTGTCTTTAGTGCATGTAAACAATAGTTTATATAAAAACAAATGTTATAAATTAGAAAGTTTATAAGAAGGCACTTAATCATGTGTCTAGAGAGACTCCCTAGAGAACCTGCTCCATGAGGAGGAAGCCCCAGAAACCTGCCTAGAACCTCCCTCTGCACCTGCTCCTGGCCTTCAAGACAGAAGTGGTGAGGAGTGTGCACCCCCTGGTGGTCCCGATCC